CGGTGCAAATCGGCGTACCGCGAGGAACACACGCAACACGTCTTCCGTACACGGTGTTCGGAGCAAGCCAAGGTAAACAGGACGGGCCCGCGGCCACGGCAGCGGGAACGACCGCTTGCCTGGTTGTTTTGGTCGTCCGGCCCGGGATCGATCACCCGAGAAAGAGTTACGTGCCCGATGCCGTCTCCGGGAAGCCATCGTCTCCTCCTCGTCTTTGGTAGGGGTCTGTGATACAAGGCGGAGAAGGAGAAGGAGACGTCCCACAACCACGAAACTGCTGTGGTCCTCTGTACGGGACGTTTTTTAATGTAGAGCACGTCTGTTTGTTTGTTTTTATTCTTTATTCAGGTAGCTCCTGCAGCGCCGTTGAGGCATTATTGCAGGGGGCGAACAACATAGAAAAAAAACATTTCTGCATTTGCGGCACAAACAGTTTCAACACTTAAATTGTTCCAATCCCTAATGGTCCTAACAAAGAAAGAATTTTTGCACAGTTCCGTCCTGGTGGAATATTCGCGTATTTTGTGGATATGATCTTTACGTTGGGAAATATAGTAAGGGGGTAGAAGGTAATGAAAACCGTTAATACCAGTGTGTTTATTATAAATGCTATATAGAAATTTTAAGCGCAAATTTTTCCGCCTGAATGTCAGCAAATCCCAGCCTAATGTACTCTTCATGTCCGTGACGCTCGAAAAGCAGTCGTACAGCCCCAGGACGAAGCGTGCCGCACGATTTTGGATCCTCTCTAAAGCGTCTATGTGATTTTGCTGAGCAGGATCCCACACAGTGCAAGCATAATCTGTAAGAGGTCGAACGTAGGTAAGGTATGCAAGTTCTTTTATTTTCTGTGTAGACCTTTTTAGATTACGCTGGATAAAACCGAGTGCCCGTCCCGCCCTCATGACGACATCGTCAATTTGCGCATTCCACTTGCAGTCTGCTAATAAGGTCACCCCCAGGTACTTTACTTTACCGTCACTTTTTAGTGGTTTATTATTTAAATAATACTGAGTGTGAAGGTTATTTTTTTTTTGCGGGTGAAGGTGACATGTACACATTTGCTGACGTTTAACTGTAATTTTAATAGACTGCACCAGAGTTCAATTTGATCCAAATCAGCCTGCAGTTGTGTGGAATCCTCATCGTTTTTATACATCTATATACAACACAATCGTCAGCAAACAATCTTAGCTGAGAGGTCACGCCAACGTGAATATCATTTATAAATATTAAGAACAGCAAAGGTCCAAGTACCGACCCCTGCGGCACGCCAGAGGTAACTTCAACAAAATCTGATGTTTCACCATCTAGAACCGTACATTGCCGATGCGAACACAAATATGCCTGTATCCAATTATGTACCGAAGTATCTAGATTCAAAAGTGCCAATTTTTGGATTAAGAGGGAATGCGATACTGTATCAAACGCTTTTCTAAAATCGAGAAACACACAATCAATTTGCTCACCCCTATCAACGGTAGTAACAAGATCATGATAAAATTCAGTGAGTTGTGTAGTACAAGAATAACCCTTTCTAAATCCATGTTGATAATCAATAAAAAAGTTCTGAAACGTGAGATGTTGCATTATCTGGGAATATAAAATGTGCTCAAACAACTTGCAGCAAACCGACGTTAAGGAGATCGGCCTGTAATTCGTGACATCATTTTTGGGACCTTTCTTATGTATTGGAGTAACATTAGCTAATTTCCAGTCCCGTGGCAAAGCTCCATTAAGTAATGACTTGTTAAATATTATGAAAAGGTAAGGCGCTATTGCGTCTGCAGAACTCTTTAGAACCCGAGGGGAAATTTTATCAGGGCCCATCGCTTTGGTTTCATCGATATGTTCCAAAAGATTAAATACACCTTCCATACTTATTTCTACGGGTGGCATCACATCGTAATTGCTTGAACACATTTCTAGTGTTGTATCTTCTGGAGGCAGAAAGACTGATTTAAAATAATTGTTAAAAACGCAAGCTTTCTGCCCTGCGTCAGTGAGTAGTTCGCCATGTACCATTATATCCGGTATTCCCATCTGATCCTTACCACAGAGCTTCATAAACTTCCAGAGCTGCTTATTGTTAGTTTTCATCGTGTCTTCAAGACGTTGAAGATAATCCTGTTTAGATTTTTTTGCGGTCTCTTTGTACGTCGTAGTCAATTCCTGTAATATCTGGAGGTTTGAGGCCGAACTTTTCTTTTTATATCTTGCGTACGCACGCTTGCGTTTTTTAATAATTCTTAATAGACCACCCTTGATCCATGGTTTTTCTCTTTTCTTTAGCTTACGTACCTCAATACTCGGAATGTATTTCTCTGTGAGGCTAATAACTCTCTGTTTAAAAAGCCTCCACACGTCCTCAACACTCATTTCTTCGGCAATACATTCGAAAGAAAGGAAGCTCTCGCGAAGTTCAGAACTGATACCCTCATAATCACCCCTTGCGTACAGAAATACGTTTCGATTTGCATTCAATTTTTTACGGGGAGATTGAAAACTAAGCGTGGCCACAATAGCGTCATGATCGCTAATACCAGGAATGACGTCAACTCGTTTAACAATGCCAGGATAGTTACAAAATAATAAATCGAGTATGTTCGAGCCACGCGTAGGTGTGAGAACATGCTGTGTGAAGCCTAAAGTGTCAACCATGCATTTTAAATCAAGGTTTAAACGACTGAGTGATCCACAGGTACACATTTCGTCACTCCATATCATATCTGGAAGGTTAAAATCCCCACCAAGTAGCACACAGTCATTAGAAACACTAGAAACCAGATCGCTAAGTTGGCATAAAACAGTGGGGTCAGAACTTGGGGGTCTGTAGAATACGCCTACAATAAGATTAAAACCATCAGGCAGTCTGACCCGGCACCACACTGACTCAACTGTATTTCCAGCTATATCTAGTTGGTAACTTTGTAAGGAGGTACTAATAAGCAAAAAAACTCCTCCTCCGTGCAGCGACCTATCTCTTCTGTAAACATTGAAATTGCTGGGAAAGACTTCATGATCAGGAACAGAGTCATCCAACCATGACTCCGTCCCAAGGATAACATCAGCCTGTACAGATTTGATCAAACCGGACAATTCCTCTATTTTGTTTTTTACACTTCTGCAATTCACGACCATCAAAACAACATCCCTCCGTGATACTATTTTTTTTTTTTTATCAGAGGGGCGTCAGGCACGTTTCACGGGTACAACCTGCTCGGTCTCGGTATCCCAAGTAAACACTTTTCCGTTGATTACAAGCTTATCATGCGTTAGTTTTACTTTGTTCGTTACGTCCTCTCTTTTAGCTTTAGCGTACGCCCAAAGATGACGTCGCTTTTCTCTAACTTCCAATGAGTAATCGTCAGACAAAGACACGAACGTACCCTTTAACTTGTATGCTTTTCTCATGATAGCATTTTTTTCATCGAGGGACGAGAAACGCACTAACACCGGTCGTGCTCTTTCCGCTGAGTATCTCCCAAGCCGGTGAATTTTTTCTATAACCGACGGCCTAATATCAAGTTTCTTTTCAAAAATTTCTAAAATCACCTTTTCGTTTAGCAATGCGGGCGTTTCAGCCTCACTCTCGGCCACCCCGTAAACGACAATATTGTTTCGCTTGCCGGCGTTTTCTAGGTAGCTAATCCTGGAACCCAAGGAGTGAACCCTGCATCCGAGGTCCTTGACTAAGTTCTCACATCTTTCGAGGTTGGGGACAAGTTGCGAAAATCCCTCGACTTTCGTTTCAAAGATAACCGCTGATTTGTTTGGCGAATATGTTCGTCCAATCTGTCTCCAATCGACGATATGCTGGCATTAAGGGCCCTCTGGCCATCGAGAATTGCCGCAAGCTGAGCTTCAGAAAACGGACCCGGGTTAAGCTCAACGTCACCGCTCAGCAAAAGAACAATAAGACAGAGCGAATCAAAACAGTCGGCAACACACTTCAAGAAGGCCCTCGGGCGAGGCAGCACTACCAGGCAGACATTATTGCTTTTCACATCAAAATAAAAACGGTCTTTACCAACCTGGATGACGAACAACAGGTGGTTAGGTCGTGGCCGCATGCCTGGAGTGCTATCTCGCCCACTGACGAGGTTGGCAAAAGGGGCGTTGCAGGAAGGTTCCGGTGATGTTTATGACACTGGGGCTACACGCACATAGAACGGCGTTGCCAGATGAAATGTCCCGGCGGCCGTTAGAACCAACGGGAATCCGCAGGCCCCGACGTGGTCCGAACAAGCTGTTTCGTCGATAATATCCCAACCGTTGTACGAAGCGGGGAGCGTTGTAAATCCACCGTCATCAGCTGGCCGCAGAACCCAAGATGACAGGACCTGGATGACGAACAACAGGTGGTTAGGTCGTGGCCGCATGCCTGGAGTGCTCTCTGGTTAGAAGGTTGATTTTGAAAAAAAATCTGACGTCACGGACAGATGTAACACTAATAGCAGGTGTAACTTCATGGACGGAGGTAACCTCATAGACAGATGTAACGTCACGAGTAGATGGAACCTCACGGAAAGACGTAACATCATGGATATATGTAACATCATGAATAGTTTTAACCTCAGAGGTAGCTGCAACGCCAACGACAGACATAACATCACGAATAGATGTAACCTCACGGAGAGGTGTAACGCCATGAGTAAATTTAGCGTCGTGGATAGGTGTAGCGTCACACATAAGTGTAGCATTTTTCTTCCGGCGAACAATTACCACTCACACACCAACGAAGGAGGAAATCACGGCATAATTGTTGTCTGCTTTTCACCACGCTGCCACCGCTTAAGAGCAAACAACAACTGAGAGGGCGGAACTTCCTCGCGTTTGTCGAACACGTGATCACCACGCTCTCCCATTTGCAAAAAAAAAAAAAAAAAAAACGCGCGTGCTTCAACAGTTTACTGCGTGAAAAAGACGCGCGTACTTCAAAAGTTTACCGCGTGAAGTTTGAGAAAGTCCTTTCCCGGGTGTCGAAACACCCGACGCAGGTCCCGACTTCTGGGGACGTCTGAACCCGGCCTGGACCCTGTGCAGCACCGGACGACGCCAGTCCCCCGTCAACATCGAGCCGAGGCAGCTGCTCTTCGACCCCAACCTCAAGCCGGTCGCCGTCACCAGTCACAGAGTGAGCGGCAAGGCCACTGAATACTAAAGTCACACAGCTCACGTATAGCCTACAAAAGACGCGGAGCTTCTCGACAGGCACGATAACAGAATTATCTCTGTACACTGCTTTTAGTATGATGCATTAACAGCGGGACATCGGCTTTACATAACAATCCCACGGCGCAATCAAGCGGGAAGCGCTATCAGAACTGTCGATAGCGATTGAGATGATGCTGTTTATTTAGTGATAGCATAAAACGTTGCCTGGTGGAGACATTCTCGCATATGCAGGGAAGGTACGATAGCACTAATACGGCAGTTCCTACCACGCATACGAAACAGGTTCCGTTCCTACGCAGTGGAGGGAAGGGGGGCGGGGAGGAAGAAGAGGGGAGTGTTAGCGCAGCACTCAACCACCTCCCCTCCCATAAACGCAATCATTCACGCACATTTCGCGCAACTTTGTTTGGGCGCATCTTGTAGGATGTAGCATCAAACTCGCTTTGTGATTGCGTACGTCTCGAACGTGCCACTTGGAAGGAAGTGTCGTTTCTCTTCCAAAAGGCCGCCGAAAACAATTTAAAAATAAAGCGTTTCGTCCGGGGCTCGGAACCGGACAGATTGTAACTAAAACCCTCGAGGGCGTCGCCTAACTAAAGGTGACAGAAATCAAGAACTGCGTGCATATAGGCATGGTTCATAAACCGGTATCAGGTATGCACGACGTTGAGACACATATCTGATTGACAACTTTGAGTTTAAGCTTGAGCCATCACCAACTGGTCAAAAAAAAAGCATGGTTGGTAAAACATGAATAATTGTGCAGTTTGATATTTTAAACCCATATTCTATAGAGAAATACCAACCACCAGATGCCTCCCCCCCCCCCCCCCCCCCCTTTTCCAAAAAAAAAAAAAAGTTTAATTTTGGCGTTGTAGAAAATCGGCCATCAGCATTAACCGTGCCCTGAGGAGGGTTCTGAGATCGCCTAAATATGTCGATAACTCACTCTACGTGCTCTAAGCATTGTAGAAAACCATAAATCATAACACTGTGTCGCCGATTTCTCTATTAAAAAAAACAATCAAAGATCAAACACACCGAGGTTGTCTCCGGTGATGGGAGGAGCATTGTTCCTGCAGCCAAGACGACATGTGTCCAATGAAAACCCGATGTTTCGTTGAGGTTGCAAACGCTGTTATTACAAAATGTGTATGCTTCTGTAGATGTACAAAGCAAATGAGAGTAGATGAAACTTCCGATTTTTTGGGGGCGAGATTATAATACTGCAATAATTGTCTAAAAATCAACGCACTCTGTTTCCTCCCCCCCCCCCCCCCCCCCCCTTTCCTTCCCACGAGAGAGCTGTGTCCGGTCGTCAGCGCTCGAGCGATCGCTCGCTGTGTACAATCGTAGTCCGGGCTGTATGGGCAACAAGCCGCGCGCATTTAAGATAATCGCTTCGCGGTTCTCCCTGTCGAAGGCGCGAGGACCCTTCGCTGACTATTGGCTGACATTGTTCCTGGTTTCGGAACATGCTCCTCGGTGTGTTGCGATCTTTGATTGCTTTTTAATATAAAAATTAGCCACGTATCGCCATGATTTAAGGATTTCTTGGATGCTTAAGGCCAACAGAGTAAGTTATCGCCATATTTAGGCGATCTTAGAAACCTCGCAGGGCTCCCTTAGGTCCCTATTTCGACCTCCTTTTGTTCCCGTTCTGCAGATTGCAGGCCCCATTTCACGGAGAAAGAGCCAAACCACACACCTCATCTCGCCAAAATCGCCATGTCCTTCTGGATTCTAAATTCCGTAGGCTGTAGTCCCCATCACCGACGATCACTAACGACGCGTCTGCTTAATAGCTGCACACGCGAACGCAGGCTCTGAAGCCAGCACAAGCTTGGCTTCCATATACCATAGACCTCGCTACGCGCGGTCACCCCTTGCATCCCCCCGCACCGGTCCGGAAAAATGAATTACAATCTCAGGTTTGAGCTATCGGCAACCACCGTCAGGACCGCCGACGGTTCGCCAGGTGATCGCTTCCCGCTTTCGACGGCGGCCATAGCAGACGAACTTTATCGTGTGGAGGGAGGCGGCAGTGTCGAGACCGGGCGCGTGTTTCGGATCTTTCATTGTGCTTTTCAATGAGCGAAGCGTGAACCAAACGAGTTCGAAAAAAGTACTCAACGGGGATGGCTGGGTTTCTCCGGCACCTGATATTTTGACGAACATTGCAGGATTTCAGCACACAATTCAAACTCAGCTTTTTTTCGCCCGACGAAATAGTGCTAAGCTATCGATGTGCTGAAAATTAACTAAATAACAAAACAAGATTTTTTTTTTTTGTCGGAGTACGAAAGTGCGGCTTTCCAGACAGACTTGTACAAAGCTAAGCCCGCATTGCTTCCATGAGAGCGCATTTGAGGGTGGGTACACTGAAAGCGCCAGAGCGGCGACTCCAACACACGTCTGGACAGGACGTGTCTATGATGAGAAGGCTGTTGCTACGGGAGTGCGTCTGCTATCACCCCCGCCTCCCGAACGAGAGGCCCGACAAAACAGCGGAAACGAGGTTCGTTATCGGGGGCACGTCGAGAGCGACCAAAACAACAACAACAACCACAGTCTGAGGACCCCATTTCTGGAAGGTTCCATGGGCACGCCCCCTCTGCGAGACAAATGGCACTTCCGATCTCCAGAGACCATCTGCGAACGGTTACTCCCTTTTTTTTGCTCCTCTTATCGGGGAGCTTCCCTTCCCGGTTTTCCCTTTTGGGGAGGAGAGTTCGGGCGTGTATGACGCGGGCATCGTCAGATCGGTTGCCACTTGCAGTGGGGGCAGAAAAGCGGGACACCAGACGTCGGGAATCTGTTGCTTTTGTTGGTTCGTGGAGGCGGTACCGCTTAAAGTTAGGCCGGTTAAAGTCCCGCCGAGTTTATAGGAACGCCGTGGCCCGTAAACCCGCGCTCACATTAGGGAGTTTTAGGGAACCGCTTTTCCACATCCGAAACGGTACGATAAGCCCTCCGGTACGAACTGCGCATGCGCGAAATCTTTCGTCGTTGCACATGCGCATTTCGTACCGGAGGGCCCATGGTAGCGTATCGGATGTATAAAAACGCTTCCCTAAAACTCCCTACTGTCTGAGGCGTGCTCATTTCTTGTCGGACGGTTCAGTTGAGTTGAGCGTACAAAACCTCCTTGCAGACATGTTTGACTCCAACATCCGTGTCTTTCGTATTAAGCACGAGCTTAACTGTCGCGCTGACTAAAAAGAAACAAACTGGAGCGGAACTTGTATTATACAGCAGTTTGCACCTCGTTCACGTTTTCCTTTCGGTGAGGAGGAAGCTTCGAACGCGAACTTACTGTTAACTCCCGTTCGTGTGACGCAAGTCAACGTTGCCCTCGCACAAAACCGGATATCCGCCATGATAAAGGGCAGACCGGTGGCCGAGCGTGTTCGCTCACCGCAGCTCGGAGCACGTGGAGCAATAGCGCGCGCTCCAGGAAGCAGGGATCTCGGGTTCGATCCTCATCTCCTGCCCGTTTCGACCAGGATGAGCATCGCAACGGCTTGATGTCGTGTGAACAGTACCGCGTGGTGCACGTTGAAGACTCCAGGCCAGCAGTGGTACTCCACTGCCTAAATGTCTGCTCTACAGCGGAGACACCGGACGCCAAATGGGGCTGCCTAACTTGTCGCCGTCTAAACAGACACAACACAATTATTATATTAGAAAAAAAGTCCTGGTTCATCCGCCTAATGTCTGATAAAATCCAAGACGAAACTCAGGTTGGCGTATTATTCGCTTTGTGTATATTCGTACGTTATGAATATACAGGATTTAGAAAGATGAATAGAAAGAAATAGCGGTGATGTTCAGTCCGTAGAAGAAGACGCGAAAACGAAGCGTCTCCCGCAAGTAGTCTTTCCGTTTGCAGGAGTAATAATGTGGGAAAGCCACCTTCGGCGAGCTGTTCAGACGTTTTTAGGGGCGAAGCTCCTTAGGGGCTAGCCATGTCCGTATGTCCATCCGATGTCCGGCGTCAAGTGTGCACCCGTGCTCGTGTAAAGCAAAAAACAAACAAAAAAAAAACGCATATTTACGTGGTGAATGATGTTGATTGGGACGAAGCTCTGGTGGTGCTTGTCTGCGTAGACGCTGAGCCGCAGCATGCCGAGCCTTTCGTTCGTTTTCATCCATGTCAGAAAGAGAATGTGTGGTACGGAACCTGGTTATATACGCATTTGAGCATTTGACCGCAGCGTGACATGCATGAAAACGAACGAAAGGCTCGGCATGCTGCGGCTCAGCGCCTACGCAGACAAGCACCACCAGAGCTTCGCCCCAATCAACATCATTCACCACGTGAAGATTCGGTTGTTGTTTTTTTTTCTTCCGTTCTCTGTAACGTGGGTTCCGTATCTGGTACTATGCGGGACCAAAAAATAGTAGGTTATTTCCACCTGGAATATGCGAGAAAATATAGGTGAGGTGAAACAACAACGCGCCACAACCGCGCATTTTTCGTGGGCATCTTCCAGCGGCCTGGAGAGATCAAAACGAGGTTTTAACGGATACCAGAAGCGACGACATCTATAGATCTTTTGCAAAATTTGTTGCCATCCCATGGCTTAAATATCAGCCTACCTATGAACACGCTGATGGCGGAGGGCATGCCACAGATGCCACAAATTCTAATATTGATGGACGATCGGTGGTCAAGTGCGTTAACACAGCGCAGCTCGGAGAACGTTGAGCGAAAGCTCCCTCTGCAGAGCCCAGGGGTCCCGGCTTCATCCCCACCCCTTCCGTTTCGACCTGGATGAACATCGTAACGGTCCGCGGTCGTGTATCACTACTGACTCCTGAGTGATGCACGTTAAAGGCCCCAGGCAAGGAGGGATACTGCGGTGGCTAAAGTTTTCTTCTACGGCGTGAAACAGTGACGGTTATGCAGACGAAACTCAAGCTGTCTAATCGTCTAACGACTCATTTGTTTGCTTTTGGAAATGATAATAGTTATCAAAGTGACTACAGGTATATTTAAAGGGTTTCTTTGACACACCACTGGCCTATATTATAGCACTCGCATCCAGGCATGCGCCGTCAGGTGACTTCCGGTAACAGTGACAATATTTTAAAAATCATTCAAGGTACATCTGTTTTACGCTATGGCCCAGGCAACCAGAAATACAGGGTAAATAATTTTCGGTCTTTGCCAGTGATCTGTCGCTAATTATGTCAACGTTACTAGACAACTGATAGTTTGGAAGCTTTCATGAAGCTGGCTTGCAAGAAATGACTCTCACCCACGTTTGCCAGTAGCCGATTCAAGCGTTTGTCAGTAGCTGACCTCAATGCTAGACGCCGTCTACCCACTATTTTGTTTTTTTCAATCAGCCAATAAGAGCTCGCCGTTCTGACATCATCGCAACCTCTCTGCAAATAGCAGACAAACTTTCGCGCCGTATGCGGAGCGCACGTTTTCTGCTTCGTGCACAGGTGTTGCGATGATGTCAGAACGGCGAGCTCTTATTGGCTTATTGAAAAAACAAAATAGGGGGTAGACCTGAAGGCGTCTAGCATCGAGGTCTACCCACTATCCTTTCAATCAGAGCCAATCAGAGCTCGGTGTGGTTCTGACGTCACCGCAGCTCTTGTGCGAGAAGCAGACGACTTGCTTTCTTTATACCCAACACTCGGAACGCTTATTTTGATTGATTCTGGCAACCTCGTGCACAACTGTACAGTCTAACAACGATGACTTCCAAATGTCAGGTAGATGGGTACCGCGAGCTACCGCGCGTGACAAGGTGGATACGTCCGTTATGATCCACTTTATCCGTCCATCAATCCATCCGGAAAAAACAGACAAACCCTCCACCACGCTGCGCCTTCGAAGCTTCAGAGAAAGCTGTCTGCGTCTCCCGATACACAATATACCCTTTTTCAGAAGTTCATTCGGAAGCACCGGTGAACCGCCATATTTTATATGCCACTTTCTTCGAGAAGTGTGTGTTTAAATTCAATCACGCACAAACAAACAAAAAGCACAACATCAAGGTGACGAACATCGTGCCGACGCCTTTTCGGCGCAATTTGATTGCCTCCATCAAATCCTAGCGACGGCTTCGCTTGAACCTGCGAAACGGCGGCCGGTGTTGGCTGTGTTGGCCGAGCTCCGGTGCGTGAACACACACATAACGGATCGATAATAACCGACGCGATTAAAAGAGAAGACAGCGCTCGTTTCTTCCCCTCGAGGCGCGATGAAGAAATAGACGTTTCGAGTAAAGTGGAATGGACTCCCCTCCCCCCCCCCCCCCCCTCCCCCGGCCACCGGCGCTTGCTATGATAGCCGACGCTGCGGTCGAAACAAAGGAGACAGTTGGGCGTGGGCCAATTATTAAAGGCCCACAAAGCACCGGAGTGAGAGTGTGGCTCGAGGACTTACTACAATGGGTCCGACTTTTAGAAGATTCTTTTGTGTCGAGGAACAAAGACGGCAGAGACGTACCAAGAGAAGGACCAACCCAAACGTACTGTACATCATGAGACTTTGTGTTTTCATAGCTTTTAGTTTCCTGCTTGTTCCTCGAAGAGAAGGTGAATCTCTCATTCGAGTGTGTTTTTAAGAACCGGAATATCGCCGGCTTTTTATTTGCCCGTTCACTGTCCCGTTCATAGAATACCGAGATATAGACACGAATTAGTGACTGTCGACGCAGGACCGGGAAATTTGTATACATTGTCAGCCGCGCAGAGTGTGAGTATTAAAAGGCGGTAGACATATGCTTGTCGTATGCGGGCATCTGTCAAGGAAGTATTAAGAGTGTTTGATGCGAGAAATAAACGGGCCAAAGTGGTGAATGGGAGGCGTTTTGCCGCAAGAAATAAGGAGGACACTGCGCTATGCGCATAAAGCAGTAAAGGGTGTTTGCGAGGAAAAAATGGTATTTCTTTTTTTGTTTTGTTTTTTCACCACAAAAATAAACAATGCATCGCGCGGACGCTCAGCATCAGTCTAAATGTAGCGCTACATATCGGTTGGAACAAGCTGCCAGACATACGCAACTTACTGGTATTTTAATTAGAAATTATAAAAAAATTTTGCAAATATTTTTAATTTGAAAATGGGGATGTTTCCTTTGGTCGTAGACGCCATTCATATCCGTGTATTCGCTGTATTCGGTGACCCGCCACCTTCCGGCATAATGACGCTGTTTCGACCAAGCCGGCCTTAGCTTTCCAGTTTCAACCAAGCTAAATACGCAAAATTCGTTTTAGAAAAAAAAATGCAAAGGTCCCTGGCGCAGTTCATTTGTAGCCAAAAGGTTGTACCTTTTGGCGCACTCTTTTGGCTTTTGGCAAAGACCTAAAAGCTGCACACAAACACGCCGCACACTAATCATGAAGTCGTGCAGAACTGGTGTCGACGAGTGGTGTCGTGTCATCACGCGAGAGCGTGAAGGCCCGTTCACACTCTTGCGACCGAGTACGACTGGGAGAGACGAGATCTTTTAAAACTTCTTAAATGTTTTTAGAACGAGGGAACACACTGGCATTGTGGCGCCATCTATGCGGTGACCCTAGAACTGCATTTCACCAGAGCGAAGGTTTTGCGGGATTTCCGAGGTCAAATGTGCGTAATACCCATAGAAAGACTTGTTTATAACATTGACAAAAGTTTTTCGAGCCAAGAAAGAAAGGATAATGCGCGAGAAATAAAAAAAAATATGCCGGACCGCCAAGTTTACACTGCTTCCCAATAGATGGCGCCAGTGTGTTCTCTGGTTTAACAAGTTTTAAGGAACCCAGGTTTAAGAGGTCGCTAGAGTGTGAACGGGCCTTAACGCTTAGCGGATAAACGTGCCGGTAAGCGGACCCTTTTCAAAACCCCATCAAGCAACACTGGCGGTCTCCACCTCTCGGGATAGGTGGCGCAAGCTACCACCCGCTACAAAGCCAGTAACATCCGTCGATCCATGCATTCGTGCCCGAAGCCTGTGATTGGATCCGAGTCGGTGCCGAACACCCAAATTGCAGTCGTGTCCAATGCGAGCTGAGCCGAGTTCACGCCGAACGGTTACGCAGCGCTCGTATCTAATAAGTGCTCAGAGTGCCCAGCAATCGACCTGCGGCTGACTGCGGACGTCTTGAATAACTGACGCATCCCCCATAAATAATTTCACCGTGTTTCGTTTACACCGAACATAAGCTATGCAGAGACTGATGCTGGGTCCACGCCCAAATGTAGCGCTAGCGCGGTTAGGACCACATGCCAAAAGGTACAGAGCTACTCGTCATCTAACACTAAGGTTTACGCAATTATAAAAAAAAAATTAATAGAAAGTCACGATCGACGATACCCACAAATACATGAACATGCATGGCGTGAGCTAAAGAAAATGGGTGCCATTTTTGTGTATTTAAATTTCTAGAAATTGACCGATCTCTCTTGAACGTGATAACATTTTCGCCTCAAGTACTATCGCCGTCTGGCGCACTACGAAGGCAACTGGGTGATGAAGACATCTTTCGCATAAAAAAAGAGGTTAGAAAACTGGCTTATACATTTTTCACCAAGAACCTTTTTTGGGAAAAACGTTTCAGGGTGCAAAATATCAACGAGCTGAAGAACGCCTAAGGGTTCTTTTACGGCCAGACTTGTCTTAGAGTGCACCGTATACACTGGGGAGTGCGGGCCTAGCGGACGCATGCTCAGTCAACACGAGTTCCCGCTAGCAACGCGAAGGTCTAGCGTATTGTCTGCTAAAAGAGTCTCTAGTGACGTCTGTCGTCGAAAAAGGTCCATTCAGCGTTCGGTTGACCGGCCCCGCGGAACTGCGCAGGTGAACGGCCAACTGCAGAACACGGGCCAGGGCATCGTGTTCCGACTGTCCGAGGACGACCACGGCGGGGTCAACATCAGCATGGGTCCGCTCTCGTACCGCTACCGCGTCTACGAGCTCCGGCTTCACTTCGGGCGCACGGACGACCGCGGCTCAGAACACTCCGTGTCGGGATTCGTATTTCCCGCCGAGGTGGGTCGTCGTCATCATTGTTCATAACCAACATTTTCATCAACTTCACTATCCTCAAACCTATCTGGAGCGGAGCACGTACTACCATGGCCTCCTCTACAGTCACAAAGCCTGGCAGTTCGACGACGGAGCCATAAAGTGCCCGGTCGCAGATTTGGAGCGCGAGGATCTGGTAGCACAGAGCATCAAAGAACCATTTTTCGGGAAACCTGGACGTCAGCGCACAGGACTCAAAACACACTTGTTCACTCGAGGGAAGTGTGTTTCGGCGTCTCGCCGCAGTGGGGCGCCAGTCACGTGGCTTTCCTCTCATCCGTTGTCTGCCGCTCCACCTTTTCCATTTCGGCGGCCGCTTCTCGTGGCGATGGATCTGCCAGGCTTTGTCAGGATATATGAGGCTATGGCACTTACACTGCTTTTTCGGTACGAAAAGAGAAGCTAACAGACCTTATCTAGCCCAAGCATCATCCCAATAATTGCGATCACCATCATCAATTATTTCGTTATCTAGGGGTTCCATAATTCGTTTCGCGCTGTCGTTCGTAAAGTGTGCTAAGGCCTGCAGGCTACGCTGATATGGAAAAGATGAACTATACATAAGTGGTGCAAGTGCACGCGCGTAGCATTTTAGCGGCCTTTTTTAGCGGCCGGCACACTGCTGCTGCGTTAATTGTCGCCGTCTGCGCGCCACCATTTTGTTCCGCTGGGCAGTGGAACGCGTTTTGAGCGTGCGCAGTACCTCTTTTTCAGGAAACATAAGACGCTGCCCATGCTTCCACAGCCCAGTTATTCATCGCTTCTCGCCTGGGTGCGCTGGAAAGGTGTATAAAACCAGGAAAAGGTGTAACTCATGTAACTAAACAAACAGTTTTCAATAGTCTAATTTTGCCAAGCGTCCGGGGCAGTCGCGACGCCGCCATAACTGTAGTCCACGGGAGAGATTCGACAGTGTATACGAGATGGCACGTGCCGTCTCAGGCGCTGCGCCTTGCCTCTTGGGGACTAGCATCCAGCATTCATTGGCCATTCAGAGAACTTCGAGTTAAATGGGACAGCCGCTAAAATATCGCGCAAGCGCACCACGTGCCCTGTCAAAAATCAGCTTTTGTTTGTTAGGCGGAGCTAAAGGCCTAAGAAATCACGCACTCGCTCGGCCTTCCCTATTTTGCTCGCGACTGCCCACGTTCGGGGCTGTTATGTTTGCCAAAACGAGAACTCCGTCTAAAAGTTTCCCCCCGCGTGTTCGGCTTCCGCGTACAGCTCCAGATCCTGGGCTACAACTGCGACCTGTACGCCAACGTGTCCGAGGCTCGGCAAAGAGCGCAGGGCCTCGTCGCTGTCGCGGCCATCATTAAGGTAAGTCCAACGAAAAGCCATCTTATGCATACAGACGCTTTTTTTTTTAGAATTATACCCCTTTCCCACCTCAAAAACCGCAGTAAAAAAAAAAATTCCGGTTCGTCGCGGATAAGTATTATTTCCTTCTTTATTTGAAGAATTAAGATATATTTTGGTGCAGTTTAGATTAGATAAATGTCATTCTATCAAGACGCCCTTGGTCGTAGCCTCTCAGACAAAGGAGCGTCGGGCGAACCTCGTGCAAACTTTGAACAAGAAGTCTCCGAAAGTCGCACCCGCATTAAGAAAACAATTTAACCTTTGACAGCAAAGTGAACGCCTTGCAAGAAATATTCCTTCCGTTCCCCATCTAGTCTACAGGCGCTCACGATATCTTAGGGACGCCATTGTCGGGCCTAAGACAACCTGCGCTGAAAGCACTGGCAGTCCGCCCATGCGGAAGAACAAATCGCGAGGTGTATCAACACTCGCCACCTAAGACCAGGTAGAGTGTACGAATTCCAATTTTACTACATATTTCACGGTAACCTAAAACTGCGGCACATGTACTCCGATATACCTCCTGATATGTGGCACCTGGTGTAAGCAGTACGTGGGTCAGACGAGCACACCTTTTCGAATGAGACCTAACAGCCAAAGAGCACATGTAAAATCATTTCCTAAACTCCCCCTTTCAAAACAAATGAGTTTACCCAAAGAAACTTTTGACAAAGTGGACGTTACATTTTTACAATCTAACATCAGAAGCAAACGTGATCGCGATCAGAGAAAATCCCATCTTATTTACAAATTTAATTTAATACGAACCGGACTTAACGAGGATCCTGGTATAATGTCATCCAAGCAAGCAGTAATTACCGTCGACTCCTCACCTGTAAGGGAGTGAATGGAGCGAATGCAATCCTATCCGTTCACCCTTCGCCTTTTACCAAGTATCTTTCCGTATTACGCTTCGACGGCTTAGTGTTGGCTTAAGTCACTGACTTTAGTCGACACTTCTTATTCAAGCGAATCTTGGCGGTAGCTGTCCTGCCCTCCGACGGCCACAGCGCGGAACCAAGGCCAGACAATTCGTCAGTCTCGCCCGCCCGCCTCCCTATCTTGCAACGTCATGATCTTTCGAACAGAAGTGTTGCGAGACTGGCGAATTGTCTGGCCTTGGTTCTGCGCCTCGGCCGTCCAAGGGCAGGAAAGCTGCCGCCAAGATGCGCTTGGATAAGAAGCCGAAACCGGAGTGCGCGTCAAAATTGAAGGGTTTTTCAAAACATGATAAAACGCTCAGCATGCTTTATACTTGCCTAAAAAGGGTTGATATAGGGGTTATTGAAAATGCCCAGTAAGGTTCTAGTTGGAACTTTGGCCTTAATACGAACAAATAAAAAGTTACTTTCTTAAAAAAAAAAGCTTGTTTATCTAAACGTTATCATTTTTTCTAAATAGGCTCTTAAGCCAACAATACGGCATCAAACTGTTTTCTGTGCGATGCTTAATTTTCGCAGAAGCGATGTGGCCTGCATTTTTTAAACACACTGTGTGTTTGTGTGTGTGTGTGTGTGTGTTTTATCTTATCAAGACGCACAAGTGACAAACGCCAAAAATATCGCTTCTTCCTCCAACAATCAAATCTTGTATAAACCACTTCGCGCGGCGTATAAACAATCAGGCGAAACGGGGTATAGAGTCACAATGAACGTGCCAAGAAAATAATAGGGTCTGTCGCAATCAGCGTTACTATACCACACTTCACTCTAACCGCAGCCCACGCTACGATCTAGTACAGAGCCCGTCAAGCAACGCCTAAAGTTGCTCATCGCCCGCGTTGCCAATCACCGACGAAACCGATCACGCAGAGCAAAGGCGACGCGTTCTCACGTTTTGTGCATGCGTGCGTGCGCGTGTGCATGTGCGTGTGCGTGTATGCGTGCGGGGGTGGGTGTGTGCTGTCTCGATGGGTCCGAGGCACAGCGCTGCGGCCTATGGATCCCCAGGTGGCGGGTTCGAATCCCGGTCGAGGGGCGCCGCAATCTGACGATGGAGGCTTATTGCGGACGAGGCGCCGTGAGGTCGAACTTTCGGTTGCACGTCAAAATATCCTTAGGGTGGTCTAAATGAATCCCCAGTCCTCCGTTGGAGCGTGCCAAATGCCCTTCGTTGGTTGAACACGTAAAACCAGAAATTTGACTTTTGATTGTTTGTTTGTGTGTGTGTGTGTGCGTGCGTGTGTTTGCGTGTGTGGTTTAGCCCGGGAAAAAAACGCACCACCTTTTACACTGTTTGATTGGGTCCATACATTGTGGTCGCGTTGGCTGCGCGGTCCAAGTAAAATGAAGTACAGCGGCGTCACATTGACGTCACCAATCCTCTTTTAGATGACCAGCAGATGTTGAGAAAAGAAAGTTCTTATCTACGCCGGTTAGGTAGAAAACCGTATCTTCCTCGATTAAAAACAAACATAAAACTTTTAGCGTCGTTAAACAATTTTGGCGGCATTCTGTGATTGGAGTGCCTGAAAAACGCTCTAGGCGAGGTTAAAACTCTACCTCGGGAGTTTATCGGCAAGTAGGAGCAAATTGTTGGCTTTAAAAAAAACTTACTTGTATTGTTTTTTTTTTAATGTTTTCTTATTTGACAACCTGCCTCAGGAAAGAAGCGTCCCTGATTGCCGGCCTAAAGCGCCCCGGGAGCGGAAGAATTTACGCTTTTATACCGCTTATCTACACCTCTGGACTTTCTTAGAAAAGATAAAATTGAGCACTTCATTCAGGCTGAGCCGATAGGTATATATATATATTTTTTTGTTCATCCTAAAAGAGCTAGGGGAATGTTCTTAAAAAGGGGAAATTGTCGCGCACGCTGACCCAGTTTTTATACGACGCTACGCTACCTCGTGTCCATAGAAGTAATTTCGTTAGCGAGTATGTAATAACAATGGGGAGAAGAAAAATCGACAAGTTTATAGCCGAAGCACGACTGGAGATCCGGGAATAAATGTATTATAGCCGATGAAGCCGTTTTTAAAAGACTCGTCTGGAAACCTTCATTGGAGTGAGCAGAACTCGTTTTCATCTCACAAGAAAAGGAGGTTTTTGTACATTGTTCATACGCTGCGCGAAATAGTTCTTACAATACCTCGTTCTGGGAGAAAGAAACTATGCTTTTAGCATTTAGAGCGTGTACTTCCTGATAAGATAACATACATATAATTTAAAAATTTACATATATATATAGATATATATTCATTCTCTACATAAAGGCGAAAATTAATAATACTCCGCGAGGAGGGGGACATTTTTAAATCTGGTTCTTGAGGGGAAGACAAGTATATGTATGTCGCGAACCTGCGGATGTTCAAGTTCGACCAGGTTCGACTTCGTCGAACTTCTTACGCGAAGTTTTTCGAAAGTTCGACTGAAGTTCGACCGAAGTTTGACAACAGTTAGTCTAAGTCTCGACTTTTGTGCGGGTGCGCGAAAATCGAAAAAGCGAGCAGACGAAACTGAGCGGAGGTAACGAACATAACTTTATTGCACATATTGTCTCCTTGTTTCACAATAATAACAAAAAAAAATGTATTAAAACCAGATATGGTCTCTTTTTTTAATTTTATAAATTACAAAATAATAAACTTTTAAGCTTTTTGTTGCCCAAATCTCGAAAATTTTGTGCGGAAGTCTCGCGACACTTTTCCCAAGTAGAAATTCGACGAATTTTGCTAAACGTTTGTAGGTTCTCCGAACCTGTGATCTAGAGGAACCTTGAGATGCAACATTGAATGTTGAGGTTCGAAATACGGTTGGCGACATCCATAATCAAAACATAGTTGCTGAAAAAAAAAAAAAAAAACACGGCAACAAGCGTTTTAATGGGATAATTGCTTGGACGAAGAGAGACGTGTTCGAACGTGTTAGTTCAAAAGTAATATTTAAAACAAAATATAGTCAACTTAACCTAAAACTCCAAAAGAAGTAATCACATAACCTCTTAAAGACGTTGCGGCATTAGGAAGACTTATTTTTGCTGCCTAAAAATCCGCGCCATCAATTTTAAACATTGAATTCTGCGCAGGTCTCGCGCATCAGCACAGTGCAAGTATAGAAAGGATGCAGGCTTCGCAAAACGCCGTGTTTTCTTTTTCTTCTTATTTATCCCTCAGCTACGGGACTCCGCCAACTTGGAGCTCCGACTACTCACGAGTCAGCTGCTCCATCTAGGCTTCAAAGGTAAGTCGCCATACAGTAATTTTCATCATCTAGAAAATTATCGCCGATCGTCAACCCTTCATCGGCGCACTAAACTCCCGAAAACATTTTTTTTTTGGCTCCTTTAAAGTGACCGAATAAAAAGGCATATTTTAAATGAATTAATCTGCTTTAAATTCTAACAGACTTAAAATGCCGTCTTCGCCATGTATTTGCGAGGCTCGGCGGAAATTAAATGGGGGAAGGCTCGTCATGGTGAGTTGACCAATTAACTAAAATCTGTTCATTATTTGTTATCGAATGGTTTTAGGGGTCTTGTTACAATTGCAGTATTAGCGGCAAGTACAACTAGAGGCCAGAACAGCTGGTATGAATTTGCACAAAAAAAGGTAGAATTCCATAGTTTTAGATGATCATTAATGAATTTTCAAGTTCTGTTTTTTTTTTAGCCCGATTTAGAAATTGTTTACAAAACGCGCCGTAAGTTCTGCCCACACAGTGACGTAGTGGTTTCAGTCAGAGCGTCATTTATGTCGTCTGGGTACCCACCAACGACACGTCGCCGAGACAGTGATTGAAACGACTGCGTCCATATTCCAAGTGTCATTGTGAGCAAAGCTTGCGGCGTGCAATCTTTAAATCGGGTTAATAAACGTGAAAATGCATAAAATAATATATAAAATCCATTACCCTTTTTGGAAATACTTCCTATCGGGTCTGGCCTCTAATTGTAATTTCTGTCAATACCGCGATTGCAACATGACACCGAAAACCGATAACCGAAATGTTAATTAACGGCCTTTAATTGATTAACGTACGTTTAATGACGATGACCCCTCGCCTATTTGACCGCCGAACCAGATGAATACATGGTGAAAACGGCACTCGTCTAGCTCTCCCCCTTTTTTCTTTAATTTGTTTCGAGTTAAAATTGAACGCCCTGAATATCGCACATTAAACTTTCAAAGACAAAAATAAATAGCGGAATTTTTACTATGCGAGCCTCAATTTAAGTCTTGAGTATCGTGCTTGTATTTCGTGCCTCGATTCCGGGTCGATGTGCCGAAAGAGAACCACGTTTCTAATCACATCTCACTCAAAAATTTGTCTCACAACGTAAATGCTGCGCTACAAATCATGTTTGGCGGCGGAGAGTTAATTTTGCGACATAGATGTACAACCCAGAAACTCAAAATATGTCTCGCAACCTAAATATCACGCGAACGGTTTCGTTTCCTGGGAGGCATTTTTTTTTTGTAACACACGTGTCCTATTAATTTAATTATTAAAAATACATTGGGAGTTTAGTGCCCATTTAAACTGCGCAATGAAGTCGATGAGAAGTTACATGGCAACACTGCGTGACTCCTTTAAAAACACTGGTTTCGAATACGAAAACCCCAAATGTCCATGAGGAGCTAGCCACGAAACGACTATCTCTCCCGGGATTGGTGCCTTTGTGCTATATTGTGGTTCACCTCTTTAAACTGGCTATCCGTACCGCTGCTCAATCCACAAGGGCACTGATCAGTATACGCATGCGCAGTAGCGACGCCCTGTTTTCCCATCTTAGCTCCTTGATCCTCTCATTTGCTACCCTCGTAGGTTAAGAAGGAAGAAAGCTCAAAGGTTCTCCAGTATTTCACTAAATCGTGGACGCGGTACGCTGCCTTTTGAACGCGTATTAAATCAGGCGTAGCAGTGACGAAAAACAAATCACTAAAGAACTCGCAACGCATTTTAGAACTTTGTCAGGACGAACTAAATAGGTACGACCGGAAACTGGCGTTAATGTCTTAAAAGCGAAGTCAAAAGCGCGTCACCCCCGCCGCCAAGTGGAAATCCGTGTTCGAAAAAGTTGTTTTCTCCGGGAGGCTTCTCCTTGTGCAGCAGAGCTATGCGGATAGAGCACGCTTTACAGGCGGCGAGGCAACCGTGAATAGGCGGGCATTCCAATTCGTTCACGAAACCGCCTCTGAAACAGGCTTTGCCTGCATTAATACCGCGTCACGAGAAATAGTAATGACGGTAATGATAATGAGTTCAATCAAATCAAAGACCGGCTGTTGAGGGTTTTGATGTGCGGGCGCTTCGCTTCTAACGCGCTATGGATTGCTTATGTCCGTCTCCCATATCTTATCAGGCATTATAGGCACTGCCAACCTAAGAAACACGGGACGTGGTGAGTCCCGAGCGCCCCCGATTTCTTAAGCTGTGAGTGAATTTAGATAGAGGCCTTAAATACAGGGTGTCCCGAGCGGGCCTTCCGCTGGAAAACAAACCAGAAAAATTGGCGTCTGCACAAAAAAACAACAACAAAAAACTTGAACTTTAATTGAGTGTGCAATGAGCAGGTCAGTTTTATTCCCGTAAAAAATTAAAGCAAAAAAAAGAAAAAGCTTAATTAAGTCAATGTTTTCCACGTTCGCAGACGACCAAGTCAGCGACGCCATTCACTTGTGGCGCCATCTCACGATAGGTGCGGCGAACAGACAACGCACTGTGTTGTCTGCTTGCTGCGCCTATCGGGAGATGGTGCCGGAAGTAAATCACGTCACTAACTCGGTCGTCTCCGAACGCGCCCAAGCTTGAATTTGGCACGTTTTTGTTTGTTCTCAGTTCCTTGAAACTTGACACGGTAAAACTGACCTGGGAGGCTAACTTCGGTACGGAGAGATCAACCCGAGTTCTCCGCCGCGATTGGTCGGTGACGTGCATGACGACACGCGCCGTCACTCCCTAGATCGTGACGTCATAACGAAGGGTTCGAGGCGGTCGGAGAGTGGCATATTCGGAACTCGCGGGGAGGTGCTGTGACGTCATTGTGACGTGGGAGAAGCCACCGCGGATGGGAAAAGCTTGCCGGCTCCGACCTTGGCAAGTTTGGGTAATTTGGCTGCGAGATGTGGGAGAACCGTCCAGAATGGCAGCGTTTCTGTTCGTGTTCCACCGTCGGTGTAGGTATTTAAGCCACGCCAATGTGTTTGGCATGGACGACGTTGATTTTCAACCACACAACCGCCTGTCGAAAGGCGTTGGTAAGGTGGCTGCGCGATGAACTGCGCGGCCAACCGGGCTTGAGGCGATGGAGCCGTGAATGGACCGTCATTCCCGTCACGAATCCTACAAACAAATCCTACAAAGTAAATCCTAGAAACAAATGTGTTTTTACGCCATCTGCAACCAGGAACGCAATTTATCATTACCTACAGGCTTTTATAATTATTGTGATCGTTTGCTGCGTTGCGTAGATGCGAGAAAAAATACACTTGATAAAATTTAAAATAAATCAGAGAATAGAAGAAAACCAATGTACATGAATGGCGCAGACTAAGAATTCTGTAATTTCTTTCTCATCTTTTTTTCTCTACACCGTATACAGCAGGAGTTTAGTCTGCCAGAAAATGGCGACATTGTTACCTGTAGATGAGAAATATAGCCAGTGGAGTACAACCGCTAGACTGGGGTCTTTAAGTGCACCACGCAGTATAGTGATACTGGAGTGCACGCCGGTACGATGCTCATCCAGATCGAAACGGGCAGAGGTGGGGATTGAACCCATTCGCTCCACGTGCTCTGAGCTGGTGTGCGCAGACCAACCGGCCACCGATCCCCCGATTTAAATAAAACTAAACCCTTCACTGCGGAGTGTAGGGACAAATCGGAGCTACGCTGGGACACTCGCCACCGGGGGGTGGGTGGGGACGTAAATGTAAAAGGAGGAGTTTGAAACTCGCCCTCGCCAGGGTGGAGTCAAAAGAAGCTCCTCTCCTCCCCCGCGACGTCGCATCGGAGAGATTCTTGCCGAACTCGAGCTTAGCCCCCCTGCTCGGTACACATTTGGTGAAAGTTTGAATTTTTCTACGTTCGAGCGTCAAATCTTCCGACTCGTTTTACACTGGAATTTTCGCTCGGAACACCCCTATAGATCGACGCGCTCTTTCCAAATAAATCCGCGTTCGCCCATACAACGTGCGCGCATTGCGCGTGCGCAGAAGTCAGATTCGCGTGAAGTGAGGCGTCTGCGCATGTGCTCTCCCGACAGCAGCGCCACCTGAGTGGCGAGACGTCAGCGCCGCGCGACGGTCTGTAGGCAAAGTACGTTGTCCCGGCTTGCACTTTCCATTGGCAACGTGAAAATATACCCCTTCGAGTTTTTATAACGTCGTAAAAATATGCCATTAATGCTTGTAGACATGCGCCGAGAGGGTGAGGGAGAGGAGGAACCGAGAGCGCGCAGCAACTTCAGAACGCCGAGCTTCGTTTGGTATAAATAGTGGGTAGACCTAAAGCTTGCAGCCTTTGTCCCTACTGCAACGTACCAAAGTACCAACTGACGCTGAAACCTAGTGTAATGACCTCCACGAACGCGTTTCGGAAAGACGGTAAAAATCGTTCGACGCATGTATTTTTAAGGAAACATATATTTTTTTTCTTTGTTACCTTCAAAAGCTACGAATAGCGGCATGTATTTCCTGCCCACGTGCGCATGTTCGGACATGCCCCATGAGTCTCCATTCGGAGAGTAAATGGGGTTATAAATTATCCGACGCTAAAATAACGACCGGGTTCGTCGCGGAACCGCAGAGGCTTGGACATAAAGCGCCCACGTCCGATGAAGGGCACGGAGCTACACGCGCAAAAGGATGTTTCATTCCGCACGACAACACGTCGATAAGCGGACGCGGAAACACTACTCGGGTCTCGTGGATCGTTCGAGGTCCGGTCGATATTATGCAAACGCCGACACGCTTAATCTCTCGAATCGACGTCGAAATGTTTTTCTTTTTATTATTGCGGTGCTTTTTTTTTAAGTTATATTATCAATCCCTACCCGAAACAAATTATGTTGGACATAAACAATGATATACCTACATCTCACATTTAACGTCGACGCACGAAAAAAAATAATTATGTGTTGTAACATCCCCAGATATAACCCCACCTAAAATCGAAAGCAAATGGGGTGAAACTAAGGGTTAAGCTAATTTTCGGTGTGTCATCAAAAAATGCTAGTTTTA